TTGCATATAAATATGCCTTCTAACTCTAATCCTAATACTAGCTCGAACCCTAACCCTAACTAATAATAATTTTAATTGTTTTTTAAAATATATACGTATTAACCTGCGATATCACAACCTGCTAAATTTAACAAAAATCTTAATATAATTACATAAAATTCAAATATTATAATATGCAGTAAAACTAGTTAATTAAAAAACCTATTATATTTAAAGGGATGTCAATATTTTCATATTCACTAGGTTTTATATCTGCCTTTATAAATTCTTCATTAGAAGAAAGGAAACAATAATTTATTTTTTCATTTTCAAATTCTATATCTTCTTCATTTTCAGACTCATTATTGTTTTCAGATTCATCATCGTAGTCTGTATTTTCATTCTCAGATCCGTTGTTTTCCGATTTACTAAGTATAAACTCAGTAGTTTCTGATTTATTATTTGTAATAAATAAACTATCTATGTTAAATTCAATTTTGCCATCCTCATTTTTTGGACAAATAGGCAATTTAGATTCATATAATAGAATCATTATTGAATTTGGCATCGGCTTTTCTGGAATATTACCCAATAATAAATCTTTTTGATTTGGTTTAATCATTATAGTTCCCGAATCTAATGTAGAGATTTTTTGGGCATTGACGCTATAATAATTAATTTCATTTGGTATACCAATCAGCAACCATATTATTTGCATATTCTTGGAATTCATGCTTATATAAATAATAAAAATACAAAATAATTAATATTAGATTTATTATATTAATATATAATTTAAACAATTTACTTACTTAAGCTTGTCAAGATTTTCAATTATCGCTACAAATCCTGTTCTAGTTGCGGACTTTATTTTAATAATAGCCTCATTAACTACATCTATTATTTGTTTATTAGTTTCATCAGCTCTTGTAATCTTTGCAAAAATCTGATATTTATTTCTATCCAATTTATCAGAAAAACTTATACGATAATAGTTATTGTCTTTATGAATTTGTGTAATTCCTGTCATTAGTACTTGTTTTTCATCTCCTATTTCCAAAATTAACTTGATTCTTTCACTAATAGGCTTCTCAAATATTTCATACAACGGAAAAAAATCACTTTGACCGATAACTTTTAGTGCTTCAATATCATGCTTAGAACATGTATTTATCCATTTTGCAATAGTTTCTTTAGTAATAGCATCGTAATCTGTTGTCATAAAATAATTGACATTAATGCTATATTCGCTTTCCCACGAATCTAAGAGCTGATTTAATTTTGATGAGTTGTTAGATAATTCATCAATTTCAGACTCATAATCAAGATTAATTATCGTTTGAGATGCAAGCTTGAGATCAATCGCCTTTTGAGATAAAAACCGTGACATTTTAAACAATTTTTCTCCCAAAATAATCTTACAAGGTATAATATATCCATACGTATTGAATATTTTGATTAAATTTCGATACGGCCACTGATCATTCAATGCACCAATTACTGCCCTTTTAATTTCTTCCGTTGGTTGCATCGACTCTTTTTCATAAATAAGTTCAAATTTGGGATATACGACTTCCAGAAAAATGTCATCTAGATAAATATCATCTACGAGTGGATTATTACTCGAAAAGTTCATAGAAGGTATCATCAGTTTAATTAATTTTGATGGTAATGAATTAATAAAAGGGAGAATTTCTATATGCTTTTTTAATAAAAATAATTCATTTTCGTCTTTAAGCATTGATATTTTTGCGTAACATCTTTCAATATCATTTATTTTTGGCTCTGATTCAAAGTCGAATGCTGGATTTTTTGCTGAATATACATTTTGCGAATTAATTATTAATCCATGGTTCAATTTATATAATTTTAATGTGCTTTTATTAGAAATGAATCGTGAAATTTGTTCTTTATAACTTTTCGCATACGATAAATTTTCCCACGAATTCTTAATACATCTACGTTACTTTGTTCAATTTCTAATGATTTATTTAAATCTTCAAGTGACTCTTCAAGTTTATTTAATTTATAATATGTTATTCCACGAATTTTTAATGCAAGTGCATTATTTGGTTTAATTTCTAATGACATATTTAAGTCTTCAAGTGATTTTTCATACATTTCTAATGCTTGATAGATTTCTCCTCTGTTGCTTAATGTAGATGCATTATTTGGCTCAGTGTCCAACGACTTCGTTAAATCTTGAAGTGATTCTTCAAGTCTATTTAATTTATAATATGTCATTCCACGAATTCTTAATGTAAATGCATTGTTTGGTTCAAATTTTAATGAATTAGTTAAGTCTTCAAATGATTGCTCATACATGCCTAACATTTGGTAAATTGCTCCTCGATTGCTTAATGCTAATGCATTATCCGGTTCAATTAACAACGACTTATTTAAATCTACAAGTGAATCTTTATATTGTTTTGTTATTTCAGCATCCTCAGTATTTTTATTTTGAGATGGAAATTCTATTGATTTTTTATTTTCATTGATTTCGATGCTGTTCTTGGATATTAAAGTTTTTTCTGTGTCTTTTGATTTTTTATTTTCATCATTTATATCGATTTGAACAATATCGGACATTATAACATAATCAACAAAATATTTAGGGTCATCTTCTAATGACTTAATAATAGGATATTTTGGATTTATATTTATAAATGAAGGTCTATAGTTTGATGCATAATTTAAATCAAGAAGGCTTGCAAATATAAAATTTTCATCTTCAGGTAATTTCCATTTATCGCCAGTAAAGATGTTTTGTTTTTGTTTCAATTTTTTTCTTGACCACTTTTGAACAGTTTTCCCATAATTATTATTAAATGGGTTTCCAGATTCAAATTCAACACATACACAGTTGATATCAATTGATTCGATATGGACATATGAATGAAGTTGGCTGACATTTGACGAAGGCATATATTTACAATATACTGACATTTCATTTTCTGAATAACTAAAATGATAACTGAAAACGGTATTTGACTTTCCAAACATATAATTAGGATTCTTTCTACAGTATAAAACACAGGTGCCTATCAAACTATAATATGGTAATTTTGATTTGGAAATTCTGAAAACTATTTTATCTTTGCAACGATAAAATTTAGAATTAATATTAACTACTTCAAGATCAATATAATTATCTCGTCAGGGCTAATTTGTTTAATTGGACCTTTTTTTTGGTCACTAAAATTCTAATCAATGATCTCTTGTTATAATGTTTTGTACAGACAATTGACATGTGCGTCAGTCAATTGACA